AGAATATAAATATATTTTCACAAACCTATAATCACTCAAATATATAAATAAACGGACCATATTATTTAGTTACATTAAATCTTTGATCACAAAAAGGGTTACCATGGTAAATAGCTACTTCACAATAGTCCACTAGCTTAACAAGATTAAACACTAATTAATATTTAATCTACAAGATTAAACATTAATCATCAATTATGACTCTAATTAAACCCTCTTTTTAGCCTAAATTTTAGGTAACCACTATACCTAAATTCCATCTTTTGCAAAATTAACACTTCTAACAAACTCTAATAATTTTATTTAACACCCAAACACTTAGATAATATCAATTCTTCACCCATATTACTTCCAATCTTTTAATTTTCACTTAGGGTTCATCCAAACCCTAGCCAAAAATCCTAATTCACTATAAAATTCATAAACCTAGGTTTAAAAACTTGATTTAAATTCAAAAGGCCCTAAATAAGCTAATGGGTTTAGTCAAAACCCAAGTGAGGAAGAAACTCAATGCTAACACTACCCAAATCTATTGAAATTTCACATAGAGAGGAAGGAGAGTGGATATAAAGCTTACCCAAGTGTGTGGCTACCTTAAATTGCCCACAAAGTGAAGTCCTAACAGCCACAAACTTTATCTCCATCGCCTTTTGCATTTTCTCTCTTCCCTTCCTTCTATGTTCAACCCATGTGTATGATTTGATAAAATCAAATTTTTGTGCATCCGTTGTGGCGAATGGCATAATGAGGCCAGATTGAATTTTTGGCCTCACTTGATATCCCATCCACACGAGCTCCCATCTAGCCCTCTTCTAAGGCTATCCAATGATTCAATAACCTTATTAATAGTATGAAAACATCACTAACTTATTAATCACTTCGTTTTACCAATTTACCCATTTTAAACTCAAAAAATTCAAAGTTTAAAATTGAGGATGTTACATGAAAAAAAACAAAGTGCAGGAAAAAAACCAACTAGGCCTCATGATGGAATTAGTTTAAAACATCCAGTTAGAACCTCAATGTTTTTGTTAAATAAAATTGCTTATGACAGTAAGAAATATGATAATAAGAGGAAATAGCTTATCACAACATATAATGACATTAGTAAATGAAGGACCTAAAGGTTTATCACTATGTATTCTAGATAAATAATTTATAAAAGAAACACATATCAAATAAATTCATTATGTCATAGAAATATACAATACATATGAAATGTTGTGGTAAAAAAACATTGTGTTTCCTAGCCTTTGCTTAAATGAATGTTCCAGAGAAAGTAAGTAGTAATATAAAGACCTAACCAATAAAAATGGTAGTTTTTTTATCAACCATTATTAATGTGTGTGTGTGTGAGTTAGAGAGAGAGAGAGAGAGATTTTGTCATTAGCTATGAGCATATTAGGTGACTGTTTATGCTATATGCAAAGGCTTATAGGCATGAAATTGAAGAAGTCCCATGGAATGTTTGCTTTGTCTTCTTTGAAGTAGGTTTAACCAAGAAATTGTAATATGCATGTGAGCTTGTAAGGTAGCTTTATACTAATTATTCTCAACCATATGGAAGTTTGCTACGAAGTATATGCTATTTTCTTTTTGTTCTTCCCTATAACAATTGAGTAGAAACATTTCTTCACCACTCCTTGTATTCTTATGCCTTGCATTTAAGTTTAGACATGAGAATTTTTATAAGTTACAAGACAAATCAAATAGCAAAGGTATGGAAAAAAAAAGTAGACCTTCTTATCAATGAGAAGTATGTTGATATAGAACACTTCATTTGGTTTGTTTTTAGGAGTTATGTTCCACTTCCTAAGCAATCTTATAATAATATGCCATCTTTCTCTTCCAAGGTGCAGCTCTTTGATCAGGTATGCTTTCTTAGAGGCCATTTGATCTCTTGCAAACGAAAAGAGATGACTATGAAAAATGGTATAGTTTTAGAGAAGCAGGTGCTCAAATGTTATAACTACATGTGTTTCTAAAGAATGAAAGATTGCTAAATAAAGGCATAACATCACAAGTTTGTGTGGATTCTTAAGGCACATTGTTAGACACCCTAATGCATGTGTTACTATCAAGTGTGAGGCAAGGTTGTGTTTTTAGTATTGTAATGATTCTACCAGTACTAATATGAATGCCTTCTAGTTTTAAGCCTTTGATTATCTATTATTTCTAGGGGTAATGTTCTTGATAATACCCATATGCTCTTGAAGGCTTATTTTGTTTAGTATTACTTAGGGTATTAGACCCTCTCTATAGGTATTCATTTCTAAGACACTTATTCTTAAATTGCTTGATACTATTGGTATTATTGTGTCATTAACTGGAACAGTCACTATACTTGTTGTTTAGACACTTCCCCTAGTATTCATTATTTAGACCTCGTATTGTGTTATCACTACCAGTATTCATCTAACACTACTAGTAGATAGAGCTCACTACCTATATTAATCACTTTGAAGGTTAATGACCTTTATGATGAAATTTCCACTATTACTCACTTACTATTGATACTAATATCTTTCACAAGGCTCTGTTTTTTCGTTCCAATTTCATAAGGCTTCATTTCTTTGATTTAATCCTTTTTATTCATTTTTTAAGAGTTTTGTATGCCTTTTTATCAATCTATAATCATTTTAACTACAAATTTGGGTAGATTTAAACACATATTGATTAAAAGTTATTCTTTACTATCCATATTGCATTTTCTCTATTGGTATTCCTTTTACCTACATTTTGTAAAATTAAAGCATTACATGCATTTAACCATTTATTGCTGTTTTTGCCATAAGTGAAAAGCTTTGTCGTAAAGCACTATACAATAACATCTTTTTTAGAAAAACTCAGAAGAGAGGAGATCAACACTCTAATGACTATCTAAATAAGTCTAATAGATCTATCAACGACTTCAATTATAAATAGATGCATTTATAAAGACAGACGCAAAATAGTTATTGCATGAGGTAACATATTGTTATTCATACCAATCTTCTATGCTTTCATTTATTGATTTTGCACTTCATTAATTGTAAATCAACTCTTTGATAGAGTATTCACTCTAATAGTTCACTTTGTGAATTGACTTTATTTATTCCTATTTTTCATACTTGAGAACAAATGACTTAAGCTTAGAGAGCTTAAGTGGGATTAACCATAACCATTGTGAGTGGAAGTGATTCAATCTAGTTGTCTAGGATTGTACTATAGCAACCAAAAGCCTGTATTGATTTGGGTGACTTAGTGAAGAAAATCTTAAGTGAAGCTTGAGAACTAAACACAAGCTCAAATGGTTGAACTAAACTATGATAAATGCTCGTGCATGGTTCTCTCTCTTACTTTTAGTAAATTTGGTAATATCATTTACATTCTTATTTTATTTAATTTGAGCAATATTCATGAAAATTTTTAATTAGCCAAATTCACCCTCTCTTGAGCACTTTTATGGTCATTGCTACCATGCAGTTAGAAGCAATATGCAAAGGAGCAAGGAAATTCTTTTCATGGCTAATGTGGAGCCCTTTGAAAGAAGAACAATTAATCGCATATACATTTTTTAGTGTCTTTTTCACATTGATGTCCTCAAGCCATTTATTGGAATGGGAGAATGACAAATAAATTCCTCCAAATTATAAAAATGACAATTTAATCCCGTGAAATGTAATAATAACAGTGAGGTGCTTAGGTACTTCTTTGAGATTAAATTTTTGGCTGAAATTATGTTAGTATCCCTATGTGATTTAGAAAATTGTGATTTTTAAAATTATTTTGGTTATTACTAGAACTAAACTTGTGAATACTTATATCAAATTTGTAAATGATATAAAATTAGTCGACTTTGCTAATAGAAAATTGTAAGTTTTTAAATTGTTTTAATCATTGGGGGAAGTAACCTTATGAATACTCATACCAAACTTATAAACTATATAAAATTAGTTGAACTTTGCTGATTGAAAAAAATTGCTGATAGAAAGTTATAATTGCTTAAATTATTTAGTCATTAATGAAACCAAACTTATGAATACTTATTTGAAACTTGTAAATTATATAAAATTAATTTAGAGGGATACTAAAGTAATTTTACTTAAAATTTAATCTCCAAGTAGTCTCTTGAGACCTTACCATCATTATCATATTTCACAAAACTGAATTATCATTTTCATATTTTTGAGATATTTATTTGTCATTATCTCTATTGGGATTATAAGTAGTAATGTCTCTAATGGTGTAATTTTTTTTAAAAATTTTCTCAAATATCCTTACAAACAACAATAATGAGATTAATTCCTTGAGAAACTTGAACAACATTTAAAAGGTTATTTTATTTCTAGCGATGCTTCATATATACACATTTAAGAATTGAACTCTAAAATGATATTTAAAGAGTGTAGTTGGTTACTATCTATGCCACGCTCTTTTGGTTCTCTGATAGTGTAATTTAAAAGGAGTGTATTAAAAAAATATATATAAGTGTACAAACTTGATGAGATTATAAGGGCCTAGGACTAGTTGACACAATTTTTTTTTTGTTAAATCTTACTTTAATTTTAAAACATTCTAATATTTATAAAATATTCAATAATATTTTAATTCTTCATAAAGTTTTAATTATAATCAATTATTGTTAGTTTTTAATTCATAAAATCATTAGCTAATTCATCTTCAATTTTCTTTTTACTCATTTTTTTCAGAGTAAGTGTACTAATTACATCATCTCTTCATTATTATAAGGTATTTTAACTGAATTACACTACAAGGAATTATTTAATTATTTTTAAAATTATTTCTTTTTATATTTATCATTATTTAATTAGTGTTTTAATTGTAAAATTTTATTAATTCTGCCATCTGAAAGGGTAGTCTTGGAAAAACATATTGTACCTTCCAAGACCTGCTAAAACGCTTTATATTTTTAATTAGAGGGGAGTAATCAATTATTAATTAATTAATAAAAAATTCCGCGGCACCTTGATCAAGGTTGAAGGGTACGATTATTGAGCGGCGTGTTGAGTTTGCTGAAAGTGATCGTATTTCCGACCGATGATGAAGACGATTATTATTATTATTATTACTATTATTATTACCACTCCTACTTAAATTGTAGAGGGGATAAAAAAAACAGAAGAAAAATACACAAATTATTATAACAAAAATTGACGGAATTGCTGGCGAAGATTGGTTAGCTCAACGAACGCTTCAACGGCAAATTTCCCGGCCGAAAGGGTTCGTGTCTCACTCTCTGATACCCTGAAATGCATGATTGCATCTTCTCCAAAAGGGTTGGCATTTTCTGATTTCTTCAAAATTTTCTATTATTTTTAGCGACTGACTCTTCTGTACACATTTTTGTCTCCTCGTCATGCATTTCTCAATTAGGGTTCGAATTCTTTAGGACATATTTGGTTTTATTTTCCTCGTTCGATTTATGGAAGTTTTGTTGTTCCTTTTCTGGGGTTTCTTTGTACTTCACACGGATGTGTAATTGAAGCAGAAGCAACAGAAGGAGTTGAGTGGTGTGCAATCGGGCCCTCAGGTGAAGATCTGAGGCTTTGGTTTATTTGGGGTTGAGGAGGAAAGGTTTCTAGAAGGATGAGCGCATCTAGGTTCATCAAGTGCGTGACTGTTGGGGATGGAGCTGTGGGCAAAACGTGTTTGCTAATCTCCTATACTAGCAACACCTTCCCCACTGTGAGTTCTTTTTCCTTTTTTGCCTTCCTTTCCATACGTATAATGTTCTCTCGTTGAAATGAAATTTGGCTTTTGGGGGTATTACAACTATCATTAACTTTTTTACGAATAAAAAGTTCGGTGCTTTACTGCGTTTTTGGTCCATGTGAATATTATGGAGTGATAGCAGAGTTAGAGGTCTGAAACATGTTAATTTTGTGAACTAGAATTAATTGGTTTGTTGGCTCTCGCCATTTGTTTGAGAGTTGGGTTGGTAAAACATGTTTATGTGAAATTTTGTTCTCTTTCTCTCTTTTTGGGGTAATGTGGAGTCTTCCATCATTTTGTTCTTTTGGTTGAAATAACTATTTGATATTTACGATGATTTTGCAATGACATGTTGTCATCCCATTCCCTTCAATGGATTATAAGGATTAGAGGTCAACGGAATTTACTAATGAATTAATCAACATTGTCATCATATCCCCTTCAATGGATTATAAGGATTAGAGGTCAACATGTTTGGGCATCAGAATTTACTAATGAATTGATCAACGTTTGCTATGTTAGCCTTTGTTTTACAAACTATGTCTTTTCTATTTTGGTTGAAGTATGGACGATGAAATTATAGATTAAGTGCTCTTTAGAGAAGTAAAAGGTCTAAGGGTGGGATTTTTTGCAGGATTATGTGCCAACTGTTTTCGACAATTTCAGTGCAAATGTGGTTGTCAATGGAAGTACTGTCAATTTGGGTTTGTGGGATACTGCTGGTAATGTTGCTTAACTACCTTTATTTTTGTACCAACTATGAAGGAAAAAGTTCTTGATTTACTGTGTTATTTTGTGGAACAGGACAAGAGGACTATAACAGATTAAGACCTTTGAGTTACCGTGGTGCTGATGTTTTCATACTGGCTTTCTCTCTCATAAGCAAGGCCAGCTATGAAAATGTTTCCAAAAAGGTACTTCCATTATGTACCAAAGTTTATGCTTCTTATGCCCCACTCATGTCTAGAATGCACTTCATCCTGTTTGAATATAAGGTTTCTAAATTACTCATGTCCCTACTTAAATTAGAATTATTAAAAACTTTCTGACAAGTGGTCAATGTGATGGTTTCATTTCCAGTGGATCCCAGAGTTGAAGCACTATGCACCTGGAGTCCCAGTTATTCTGGTTGGCACGAAGCTTGGTAAGTTAGTTGGGCCTAAATTGATTTATGATTTCCTAATGTTATGTATTAGTGGATTTACTCCAGAATATTAGTCGATTATGTGTTTAATTTCTTGTTATGATGAAACTCTAGGAACATACATGTTATGGGGATCTTTATTAACCTCTATAGAAATTTATTGTATGGATAGTGCTTTTGGTTTATAACTTTTTCATAATGTTCATTTTATCTGACTAATGAATTGCTGTACAGGTTCTTTTTGTTTATCAGAAAGGGGTAGAGTTAGTGGATACCTATCTCCAGATATGGATTATTATTATTACTATTATTTTGTCCAAATATTCTTCCTCTTCATTCATATCATGTTTTCATTTTTTGAGGGGACATGATTTATCAAATTGCACTTGCAGTTTTTGAAGATAACTGATAACTATAGAAAGTTTCTGACAGGGTCAAAACTCTCTATAATTAATATGCTAGTTGCAAGTTATCAAAGGAATGTGTTCACAAGATACATTCTTGCTTTTTATATTAATTCATAGCTCATTTGTCCACTGAAATCTTGCCCTAGCCTAAAGATGAGCGCTTGTAAATGGATGAGTCTTGGTGGCTTGACTTTAGGTGAGGTTGCTTGGCTGAGTTGCTTCTGTGCCTGTTATATACGTGGATATTGCCATTGTTAATCTATTTTCTTCCGGTCTTTTTTATAAGTCATTTCTACCAACCTCATCAATACCAATGTAAAAAAAAAAAAAGGTACAAGAAACAAGTGTGTAGAATTCCAAATATGTCCCTTTATAACAAATCCAAAAAGTAATACCATGTTACTTTGTCTTTCTCTTAAAGGATAATTTTGAAAATACCTTTCAAATATTACCCAAAAAGTCGCACCATGAGTTATAAATGAAACCAAATAAACCTTCTAGAATGTGTCTTATAAATAGGACCGGAGGAATTAATTTGTAATGATGGCTCCACAAGACTGCTCTGTTTGGCTTATTCAAACTTCTCAGAAGCGTTTACTTCCATAACTTTCTTGATATTATTTTTATAGTTTCGAGTTTTGACCAGAGGTACAAATTGGATGATATGTTAAGAGGTTTCTTTGATATTATCATACTTGATGAAGTTTAAGAGCCATATTTTCAGTTAGGCTTTGTTTGGATGGAAGGACTAGTGAGGAGAAAAAAAGAGATGAAAGAAAATTGGGAGGAGAAATTTTGAAAGATAGCAAATTTTTTTACCATTTTAAGGAGTTTTTTCTCCTAGTTTTCCTTCCTTTCTATTTTTCTTCCCATCCAAACGAAGGGATAGGGTTCAGGACTACTTAGCTTTGCTGCTTTCTTAGGATTTTGGAAAGTTGCCTTTTGGTTATGGCACCAGAGCACTTAGCTTTGTTGCTCAGGGTTTCTTGATTGAAGCACTGAAGTTAATCGGTAAATAGTATTTCTTGAGCTTACTGAAAAAGAGAAATTTCCTGAAACTAGTGGTGGCTATTTTAATGAAATTCCTTAATGGACTGGACCATATTTTAATGATGATTTTCTCAACCGATTTTTTTTGCTTTTTGGTTCTTTAATCTGAAATGAGGCAGACCTTCGGGATGATAAGCAGTTCTTCCTTGACCATCCTGGTGCTGTACCCATTACCACAGCTCAGGTGAATATAGCTTTCAGTGCATTTTATTGCCGTACTTTATTTTTTTAATTATATCCAAATATATACTAAAACACTGCAATATTTTCATACTAAAATACTGCAATATTTTAATGGATATCTTTTGTTCAGATAAGATCTGACATTTTTATCCTCCTTGAAGGGAGAAGAGCTTCGGAAGCTGATCAATGCACCTGCTTACATTGAATGCAGTTCAAAAACTCAGCAGGTACGTGATGGGAATCAATTTTTAATTTCTCCTTTTTGAATTAGAAGGGCTAATGACCTAAGGTGACAAACGGGATTGAACATGTAATCTTTCACTAGGCGACAAGGCTATTGACTAATTTCTCTTTTTCGATACAATGTTTGATTTCTAACATTTCATGGCAGAACGTGAAGGCCGTCTTCGATCAAGCCATAAAAGTCGTCCTTCAACCACCGAAGACGAAGAAAAAGAAGAATAAAGGACAAAAGGCATGTTCAATATTGTGATTCTTTAGGTGTAAAACATTTGAGAGCCCTTTGTTCTTGCTATAATATTGCCCTATCCCGCCTTCTTCCTTTTCTTCATTCCTTGTTGAGTCCATGTGGGTGTTCATTGGACTACAATACACTATATCTCCTAGAAGCATCTGACGTCTGATTTCTTGGAATTATTTTGAACTCTCATTGTCAAATTTGCATTTCATGGTTGCCTACTACCATTTCCTGAGCCTGTCGTTTTGTATGTATCCCAGTTAGATTGACAATCTTGTCTGCACCAAGATACACACACACAAACACACACACGTTTTAGGGTTTAGGCTTTAGCATATGCACATGATTGATTTGAGGGTTAATGCGGAGCCATTTGATTAATTTGTTCTTAGCGGACCAGGGTTCTCGTTTTGGTAATCACTGCATTTAATTAATTTTTAACAGCTTTTATTAGTGCTGAACATGATGCTCTTATGAGCAGCGTTTGCGATGGTGCTTAACTTTATGGGTCTTGTTTGTATAATGTCAAATGTACTTGAAAGCATATTTATCCGGTGCTTAACTTTATGCAGGCATTTGAATAAGTTATTTCTAATTAGATTCGACAATGTTCAAATTTGGTTCAGTCAAATAGTTATATATATATATATATATAATATATATATAAATTTAAGCAAGTATGCACGTTCACATCCTCTACGTATGTGTGAGGGAGCTGAGGTTTTGATGAATTCGATTTTAAAAAATAGAGAATGGGGATTAAAATATTTAATTAATTTTTTACTCTTAATCTTCACCTTTTTATTAAAATTTTCCAATTTTTTTATTCAATTTTTTAAATTGAATTTATTAGAATCCCCTCTCCTCTTCATTCCCTTCCAACCAAAATAGGGTACTGTTTCTAGAGAGTTCCATCAAATAATTTGTCTACCATCCAAATAGGTGATGAATTGATGTTAATTCCATTTAGGAGCAAATAAAATGGTCATTGTGAAATTTGCAATAATTGACAAACAAAACCAGTTGAAATATAGTAGGAGAAATACATGAAAAGAACTTGTATGATAAAGAACTAATATTTATTATGACAGGCTATGAAGATTATAAAAATTACAATCAATATAATTTATCCACTTCATTCTTAATGTTTGGTAAAGCTTTGGGGACTTTTTCATTTAAACTTGAAAAACCATATGATAAACGTTCATAAAGAAACACCTTTTTCTTGGTACGCACTGCTAACTAGGGTTTTCGAAATCCGTTTGATTTGTCTCCAAAAAGAGTTTTTTTCAAGATATTTTTGTAACTCTGGATTGACCAAAGAAAAATCTAATTGTGGACATTTCCTTTGAAAATTTAGTTTAGTGGTTTGTGCAAAATCTCCAACCAGAAGTTTTCAATTTTTTTTGTTTTAACTCCAGATCCACTTGATGATATCCCATTTGAAACCCATTGATGTTTCCCTATTAATTCGTTCACGCTTGAAATGTTCAGCCAAAGAAAGTCTCTTGAGTGACTTTGCTACACAAGGCACTCAAAAAATATCATAATATGACAATTTAGATCAATTCACCCGATTAAAATGTTAAATAATGTCTTAACCAATTTAATAAAATGTTTAATTTATCTCAATTTGATTATAATTTTGACTGTAAATCATTGAGTCTGTCTTGACTAGTCCAATTTTCAATACTTTGCAAGATATAATTCAAGTGAGTTCTCAATCTCGCAAGCCGATCCGAGCAATGCAGTTCTTTCGAACAGAAAAAATTGATGGTTAATAAATAATAATACCAATGATAAAATAAATACCATGCATTTTTTATTTTAGTAGAGTTCTGTTCCAACTTCACCAGCATGACCTCAAATTTTCTTTCTCCAAGTACATGCGTTGATGGCAAGATCGGATTGCACCAGATCCAGCTTTTTCAGCAGAGGCAAGCATTCACGGTTGGATTAACCAGAATGGAGAGAGTACTGTAAAAATTTAAAAAGAAAAAAAAAAAGTGAAGATGATGATGATGATGATGATGATGATGATGATGAATCATTTCATAATCAAGATCATACACGGCAAACCACTTCAGTCAATCAATCCCAGTATGAAGCTCCCAGGCCAACAATCATCCACATTTTCCTCTGGCATCAATTCTCAAACCAGCCTCCCTCAGGTGATCAAACAGAAGTCTGCATCATTTTCTTCTTGGTGGATCCCGACTAAGCCCATGCTTCTTCAGGGTTTTAATGTAATTTCTCATGAGGGTAAATTTATTACTTCCCAGATTATAGAGAAAGTCCCATGAATAGATCCCAGTTTTATGCAAGTCGTCAAAAGTGATCCTGGATCATCCAGTCCAACATCCATAACATCACTTTCTCTACAAGATAACAATTGGAAGAAAAGTAGTTTGATGTTAACAACCAAATTTTGCTCTAAGCTTCAAGTACCTTACCCCATAGTTCCCTACTGGTTCAGCAGACATAATTCCCACATGACGCCGCCCAAATATCACCTGGGTCAGGGTAAGCATTCAACTAATCAACCACGGGAACAAGTCATCTGCACGAGAGAATTTGCAATAACGAAATAACAATTTGATTCAAATCCAAAATTAGACAGGAAAATACCAAGGGATGGTAAGAACAATTAGGTAGAAGTCATACATTAATTATTTAGAGTCATAACTACTTCAACTGTGGCTGTCAGCTAACTATAGGCAGAAAAGTTGACAGATAAGACAGACTAAACTTTTGTCGAAGAAAATAAAATTATCTTCTTTAATATCCCTTATCATCCCCCTCTCCCATTTCCTTCTCCCTTTTCCGTAGGGAAAAGATCAGATAAGTAGTTTCATTTATAGATAATTTATGAATTTGTGAATACATTAGTGTATATGCTAATTTGTCGTAGGGAGAATTTTTTGCATGTGCAGTACTAATTCTGTTATAGCATGCATCGTTTTGTATAGGCCAGGTGCTATAACTGAAAGGCTTATATAATAAAATTCATTCAGTAGCTCGATTACCCTTATCGAGCTCAGCCTCCATACAAAGTCTAGTCTCCTTTCTCTTTACCTTTTTTTTTTTTTTTTGCCCCCTTGTCATGAGATCTGTTGAAATAGATCATCATTTCATTAAAGAAAAAATTGACAAGAAGCTGATTGAAGTGAAGTACGCACCAAGAAGGACGCAGATTGCAGATATACTCACCAAGTCATTAGTCAAGCCAGAGTTAGAGAATTTAACAAGCAAGCTGGGAATTATGGACACTTATTCACCAGCTTGAGGGGGAGTGTTCGAAGACAGCATCTAATGGGCTTGGGCCTATTAGTCTCACAGCAGACACCTTAAATAAATGTGTAATCTGATTCTTTAGGGATATTATTATCTTAGAATAATATCATATTTTGATCTGATTTTATTTTTAATGATTGTAACCTAGCCTATGGCTACATGTACTAGCTTCAAAACCAAATAACAGTGAAACAGAGCCTCAATTACTGTGCTGATTACACTAACAGAAGCGAACCAATATGCTGATGCATTGGCTAACATGAGTTTTGATCTCAGTACAGGCACACATATCTAGTGGCAAATGGTCGAGGGAGTGAAGCTGATATGTTTTGCTGATAAATGTGGTTTTGGCTTTGATAGTGGTAGTTAGCTGGTTTCGTTATTTTTTTATTTCTTATTTTCCTGGGCTTTTAGCCCCATTCATGTACCCTAAAAAATACACCTGACCATCATAGAGGAAAGTTCACTAATCTAGCACAAGCACATAGGCCGGGGTGGACTGAGATTAGACATAGAGCCCCCATTCAAAAAAATATAAAATAAAATAAAATAAGTTTTTTTCCCCCCCAAAGAGGTATAGGTCCCATATTTATAGCATGTGTCCCTCAACCATGGCTCTATCTGGCAAGGTGTTTGGGTTTAGTCGAAAAGGTTTCTGGGTAAGGTTTAATGGTGTATCTATAATGATTTTCGTGGGTTTTGTAGGTTTTGCAATTCTTTGAGAGGATAAAGTCAATTCTAAGAAGGGGTTGTTTCATCCAAATTCAGACTCAAGCATGTTGAGAGAGAGTGGGTTGTGCATCATAGATCTAGGATGGTGCATCATCAAACTATTTTAAGCTATGACGAAGGTCCATTTTATTATGCTCATAAAAGTTTTGGTTCTGCATGCTTTCCCTTTTTAAGAAGAGTTGACGTAGATGATAGGCTTTTAGTTTAAGAAAAACTCAATATTTTCTTTAATAACCTCGATCACAGAACAATACCAACAATGCATTTTAATCCACTCAGAGCTGATTTGTAATTCTCACAATATTAAAACATACAGTAACAAGTAATAACAAAGAATTTTAGATACATGAGGGTAAAATTATTCCAACTTCTATCAGTCACCTTTTCACCACCAATTGACCTGCCTTTTCCATCAACAGCTGCACTATTTATTCTGAGGAATTCAGCAGACAGCTTGAACACACTACCATCAGCAAATTCCACCTCTACCTGGAAAAGATTTAAAAAAAAAAAAAAGGGTTCAACACAGAAACATGATATGAGGTATCCAACAGAAAATTGATAAGAAAATGGGGATCATGCTGCATTGAAATACTAAGATGAAAGTTCTGTCATTTGTAAACTCTACTAAAACTCAAAAATTAAAACAAAAGACATTCACATGCCAAATTAATAAGTCAAATTAGGTAAATCAAAATATCAACAAATTATTCTAACAGACTAGAAACAACTAAGCGAGAGTCCGCGCTAAGCTCTCCCATGTGTGCTACATCAGTCTGCATAATTCCTGCAAGTTCTTTAACTAAATTAGCTCTCCCCTTTTCCTGTGACTTGAAGAGGTATTTTGGCTTAGGATGCTTATCATGAGGAAACCAAATTAACCCAACGGCAGTGAAGTTATACAAATTTTCTGTACCAAAGAATATCCTTTGACAAGTGAGAAGCCAAGTGAAATTTATACTCAGCATCTGATTCTAATATTTATCCATTGAAAGTTAATGTTGTTGATCAACTATTAGCATTTCATGACGATAACAAAACTGAAATTTAGCAGGGTAACATCAAGCTACTGAGGAGGTACATAAGATTAACCTCTAAAATTCGTGTGAAATTTGCTGAGATAAAATTAACGTCTCAGCCCATGGTATTATTGATTATCTCGTGTGGTACATATAGGACAGATTAGGGTTACAATAATAAATGAAATCAGAATCTAATCTGATTTAATATATGATTCAAATTTCAAATCAGATTCAAATCCCCTAAATCTGGAAATAATAACAACACAACTAAAAGGTACTAATTAATTGGGTATTAGATAGATAATGCTTAGTTAGTAAGCTTATCTATAAGGCCTAAGCCCCAAGCCTTCTAACATCGTGCTTAGAAAGCATCTAGTAACTTAGCTTTACAAAGTCCAAAGAAACTAATGAGTCCCCAGTTTATTGGATAGCCCCTACTACATTCTAAAAATTTATTGCTGAAACTTTAAACCAAGCGGGTGAAGAATCGAAACAAGTAGAATTTATACATTCTTTCAGACCCTTCCCCATGTTTCCAGCAATAAATTCTAACACAATTACTACTATTCGACCTAGCACAAACTTAGAAAGTTCGTAGAGACAGACCGTCTAATTTTTTGAACTCTAATTTCTAAACAATAGAAAAAGGTTTCAAGCTATGGAAAGCATCATTTGACAAGTATAAACGACGTAAATTCAAGGGGCAAGAAATAGATGCGTTTAATTTAACCGTGCCAACTAAGTCATCCAGAAAAACAAAGTCACCATTGTAAGCGAAAGCTTAAACGAGGGAGCAGTAGAGCACAACAGAATGCAATAATTTTTAACAGTTACTCGAGGAAATTCTAATTCCAAATTTTCAAATAGAGGTGACTGAACTGTGAAGCGTCTATTGTGCTTTAAACTAGGAAATCCCAAAATCTAACATTAAGTTGAAGGTTTCGACCAATCAATAACGTAACAATAACAAGAACGAAAGGAAAACAAACAAAGAAGTCTCGAATGTTTTCGATCGATTAAAACAAAAGTGACCAGAACTAAAGGGTGGGTTGGAAATTACGCATTTTGGGGGTTGAAGAGAGAATCTGATAAGGCGTGGAGCTTCCACAACAGTGTTGATTCTTCGAATCGCTCCTATCATGCCCAACATCGCTCAAATAACTACTACTAGTTAAACACGGGTTGTTTCTCTGAAGCTGAACCACTCTGATTTCCAAATAAAAGAACCCCTGAACACAGCATAAACGAACCGAATTTTTTCGAGCCTACTCACATTAGCCTATAAAAAGCTCCATTATAAGAAAATGGACGATCTTCTTAAGCCCGCTCTGGACATTTTGCGAGTTTGTTCAGTTACCGATCCTAATGCGGTCAATGCAATGCCTTTCCATCACCTCTTTTTTGGATGAACTAGAGAGTTATTTCAAGGCTGGCTCCCATATTAACAGGCAACTTCTATTGCGATTTACGCAATTTTATTTATTCATTTTCATTCTTTTCAATGTGATGCACATGTAACGCTAGTGCCTATAAATTTAAAAATACCCCCTCCTTCAAAAATTAAAACATTTTTAGTGAATCTTATTTCTTAATAAAATGATTATCTATAAATTTAAAAATACTCCTTCCTCAAAAAATTAAAACATTTTTAATTGAATTTTATTTGTAATAAAATAGTTATTAAAATAACATCATCTTTTTATATTTATCCCTATTTAATAGAATTTTCATTTTAAATAAATATAAAATAATTTATTTATTAGAAGTATTTTTACAAAATACAATGATTATATTTTAAAATATTAAAAATAATTTACATTTTTTAACGAAAAAATACATAAAAAGACCATAAGTTAATACCTAACATGTATATTTAACTTTGTTAAGATATAAATCTAACCTCGGAATCATGTCCCAGATTCTGATTAAACCCTGTATAAAGGAAAGTGTTTTTCCATTTGCCTTTCATTGTTTATCATATCCAGTCAATTTATTTTCTTGTTGTTAGCATATTTTTACTATATCAGTAAAGGAGTTAGAGGAGTTACAGCAAAATTACATTCATCCCTATCATCTCATGGTTTTTAATTATGTGCATTTTTAATATTACAAGGACTAATATTGTAGATTAATAAAACTAAAATGACTTGAACAACAAATAAAACTATAGAGACTACATTAAAGACAAAATGCAATCAGAATACATGGATCTATTGTTGTGTTTTTTCTAATTTTTGGATAAATTAATTTGGCTTTTTGACCAAAATGTTATGGGATTAAAAAAAAAGGAAAATGACAAAAAAAAACATATCTGAAATATGCCAATGATAAGGATGTGTTGCAAAATATGATAATTATCATGTAGTCCTTATAAACTTGTTTGACATTTTGATTTTTTTTTCAAAATAAAAAATAAGACTTAAAAAATCAATTACTATATTGTTTGAGCTATTGACTAAAACAAAACAGAAAATGACAAGTTTCTATTAGTAAAGTATAGTTATTAAAAATCATGTATTGGTTACAATTGGAAAATAACTACTTTATCTGAGAAAAGGACTATAGATGAATGGCAAATGATAAGTGCTTCTGTAGACATGTTTTTTCCAGTCAAGTCCAAGTACTAAACATTAGTGACTAGTTACAATTAGGAAATAACTACTTTGTTAGGGAAAATGACTACAAATGAAAAGCAAATGACATGTGCCTCTTTGCAAATTTGAAATTGGGCAAATATGTCATCTCATAAAAAAATTGGTAGATCTAACATTCCAAAATTTAAATTAAAGGTTTAGAATAAATTAAAAACTAATTTGAATTAGTTTGGGGTTAAGAGTTAGGATTTAAAATTGTTGGCCTTGACCATCACAAATGTGACACAATATGGTGTCTCCACCTACAATTGGACTTCATGGAAAGGGCTGTGGCATCTATTTACATCCACCCTTGATTGAAACCTTCAGTGGACATGACTGCTCGTGGATAAAAACAAGCAGGAACCCATTTAAGTGGTCTCATCTAGTTGTGGATGAGATTAGAACATGTTATGATTGCCAATGGATGTGACACAAAAAAAATGCTATGAATAGCTGAAAAACATCTAAAATCAAAAAAATAAAAGAAAGGGACGATAGGAAAAAGAGAATCTCTATTAAGGTTTGCTTCTTTTATAATCTGAAAGCGATTTTGAGCTAATATTCACATGCATAAGTGTTTTAACCTTCTCCTCTTCCTTCCTATTTAAATTTTGAGCTTGGTTTGGGGTTTTAATGGTGTTTTTAGTTAATAAGGGCTTTGATCTGAACCTATTAGTTCCAATGGGATTATTAGAGGGTTTTTTAGGTTTCTAAACCTATTATTAGTAAATTTATAAGGTTATTTTGTTGGGATTTTGTTTTTGGACGAAATCTAATGGCTAAAGGGTTGATTTAAAAAACCCTAAGTCTGAAATGAGCAATGTAGAGAGTAATTAAGTGGATAATAGGTTTAGTTAGACTCATTGGAATCTATGAAGCTAATGGAATCATTAGATAGCAATGTTATCTAATAAAATAAATTTTGAGGTTTGAGTGGAATGGCTAGTTATGGAAATTGTGATTTTTGATATCTGATTGATGTTTTTGAGTTCTCTAAATTGTAGACTAACCATTTTGAGCTATAGGAGTAATTGAGAGCATTGTTTTGCCAAGAATCTATGAGTACCCCTTTTGAGTGACTTAATGAGTGGAGATAACTAGGAATCTAAATTTTCTCATACGCTTGTTCAAGTTTTGGAAGTATGAAAAATATGCTTGTATATGAAAATTCTCTTTATGTTTTGGAAAATGTTGTAAAGTAGGTATTTGTAAATGTTGTGTGAAAAGTATAGTTAAATTGAGTAGATAATGCTATGTTAATGAGCATGTGATGATTTGATAAATTGTCAAGCACTTGAGGTTCTGAAAAGTATGATTGGAATCATATGAGTGTGTCACTCTGTGTGTGTGTCCGCGCGCGTGCACGCGCATGCGTGTGATGAGTGGAATTGTGAACATGATGGCATAATTGATTAATTAAATGGGTAAGAATTCACCCTAGGTGGGAGATTGTTGTATTGCAAGTATACATGACATAGACAGCATTTAGGTAGCTCTCAATGTTGCATAGTTGTGCCACCTGCTTTGATTGGAATTAGGTGTGGTTCTAGCTTAAATAAGGATACTCACTTTAGGAGTGAGTATGTGTTATCGACAACATATGACGCCTTATGGAAATTTGATTAGTAGAGGTGTTTATGGTCCATGTTTATAAGTGGTGACCTTTAGCCAAGTTATCCTCGAACGTTAAAGAACTTAAGCTTGTCCGATCACATGGATTGATCCTATTATGAATTGGAGCTCATAGACTTGGTTAGAAGGAATAAGGAGGAGATACATGGGTCATAATGATCACCCATATATATCTATATGTTAAGTGAATCATAATTGTATTAACCACTTTACATGCCCTTAAATGCTCATGCTTGTGTATGTTAGAAGTTAAGATTTATTGGCTACTAAAATATTTATCTCACCCTATAGTTTAACATTTTATAGGTAAAGTCTCGATTAGTGGCAAGGGAAAGGAACCGGAGGCAAACAATTAGATTCCATGCTTGTAATGCCTCTTGGGGTTATTTATAAATGATTTTGTCTTATTTATGTATATACATTGCCAACTATAGGACAATAATTGCATTATGGTTGTCTTGTGGAATGTTGCATGATGAGATCTATTTTGTTTATCAAGCCATAGGGAGCTTATAATGGATTAGAGATTACATTGTTGAACCATACTTAACTGGCTGTTTTATAGAATCAAGCTCTTGGGGCTTATAATTAACTAGGGATTATTATCGTGGATAATTGATTTTGGAATGTTGATATGCATGGTTGATATATATATATATATATATGAGTAAATGTGCAAATGTATCCTGGAACTTTTTCTTCAGGGGCTCCTAATATCCTTATCTTTTTTTTAGCAGCAATGTTGTCTTGAAACTTTCCAAAACGGTGCAATAGTGCCCTTCTATTAGAGTTGACTATTTTGTCTGACTTAACTTGCCACTTGGCCACCACGTGGCATTTTTTAAAATTAAAAAAATAGTAAATGTGCAAATTTATCTTAAATCTTTTCCTCCAAGGGAACCCGGTATCTTCAACTTTTTTTAGAATCAATGTTGCCTTGGAACTCTCCAAAATAGTGTAATATTGCCTTACTATTAGAGTTGACTATTTTGTTTGATTTCACTTGCCACGTCACAGCCACGTGGCATTTTTAAAATTTTTTTAAAAATAAAAAGAACAATGATTCATCCTCATTAGTTTTCTTCAAGGTACGTAAAAACCGGACCGGTCATTAAACCGGTCATGATACTGGGTCACGGGTTAGTGGTTCAATCGGGGTTGAATTGGGGGTTGAACCGGTGGCAACTGGTCATGATTAAAATAATATAATTTAAATAAAAACATTAATTATAAAAATATTCAACAAATCCAACCACTCAAAGTCTAACAATAATAAATACTATATTTTTGGACTTAGCATGCTCTATCTCTAATTTTTCATTTTTTGACTTCAATTTCACTTTTTTTTTATCTTTTTTCCGAACTCAGAGCTCTGAAAAATAAAATAAAAAAAAAAATAAAAAACGACGTCGTTTTGGGGTAAAAGTCTGAAAAAATATTAACCCGGTTAACCCAGTCACCCACCGGGTTATCCGGGTTATACCGGGTTGAACCCGGGTTGACCGGGTTACCAGTTTACTCCCTCACCGGGTTAAGAGCAAACCCAGACCGGACAGGGGACCGGTTCACTGGTTTTTGGGTTGACCCGGCCGGTCCGGTCCGGTTTTCAATACCATGGTTTCTCTTCTTTTTCATCTACCATACTAAAAATGCAAATAACTCAGAACACTAAGATGAAAAATCAAACTCAGATTTTCAACATCAAAAAACAATCAAAGACAAGGGGTAGAGAGGAAGCAAATGAACACAAATCAAGAATCCACCAATTCAAGAACAACACAAAATCTAGAAAAATAAGTACACAAAAGCTAACAACTCAGATTGACTAACGCCAAGTAGGTAGAAGTAAACATGATCATCATATGGGTGATGACTATGGGGCTTCTAATGTAGCTCTTGTCTTGCAAATGCCAATAGTGAATGAGGGAGGAACGAAGACGAGAAGAATGGCAAACTGTGAAGGAGGGAAAGTGATATGTAACTGAGATACAAGGAGGGAGGGGGATGACAAACCAGTTATCGTGAACCAGTGAGCGATGTGGATGATTGAAGAAGTCATAGAGCTAGGGATGCTTTGATGGAGACCACCTGTATCTACATTTTTTTAATTTTAAAAAATGTCACATGATAAGTGAATCAAACAAAACGTTCAACTTTGATATCAAGGCAACATTGC